TATATATATATATATATATATATATATATATATTGAACGTAGAACCAAAATAACTCAAATAACCATAAAACCACATGAAAATGACTAATATTCATTAAATATAAATGTTCATTTATGAACATATGTATGTTAAGTTATGAAATTACAAAATATTCATAAATGTGCATAGTTATTGGTTATATGGTTTATTGGTTCTATGGATTTTACTGAATATACACAATCGGTTTCACTAAAACAACAACACAAGCCATATATTTGATGCAATTTAGTACCAAAATCCACCTCCTTTTGCATTTGACATATATTATCTTTTACATATAAAGTCAAATTATAGCATATCATTGAAAAACATATAATAAAATATCGGGTTGGGTCGGTTTCAAACCCAACAGGTTGGGCCGGTTTCAAACCCAATGGGTTGGGTCGGTTTGAGGTACTAAAACCGAACCCAAAACTCATTTTTCGGTTTTTAAAAATTTAAACCCAAACCTGATGATTTGGGTTAGGTTTGGGTTTCTCGATTTCGGTTTTTAGGTTTTCGGTTTCAAACCCACGGGACTTTTTGACATCCCTAAGGTTTAGGGATTTGTTCTCTGATATCATTTAAAATAATGATTTCCTACGAAAGGATATTTTCACATTAGATTGGAATATTTACAAGAGTAATGACTTTGATAATACCAAATACTATACTTACACCAAACAGCTCTTCTTTTCTTCGGCTGGCCCTCTCAATCCCAATAAAAAGGTATAAGTAATGAAGTTCAACCAAGTTAGAGCTCGACTTCAAGAGCATATGAACATTGTGCATGAAGCTTCTAATTCATATTTAATAGGAAGTAAGAAGCGTTACACTTTGCATATAATACTATCCAAACCTCGCTGTTTGTATAAGGTAGGAAATACCTAATGCTACCTGCCTACCTCAACGTTTATGTATTCAAATGTATTAGGATAATTAGTGTTATCATAAGTTGTATGACTAATAGATGAAAAATTAAGTAAGCTTGTACTAAAAATTACTCAACTGGTATAATTTGCATTTGTTTTGGGATGATATAAAAAGCAATTTTTTGGTTTTATCTGACGTGGTATGGAAATAACAATAGATGTCTATGTTGTGTGCTTCGAGTTTCTCAGTTCTATAGTACTTTTAATATCCATGCCATGATACCAAAATAAATCTTCACCTAAAATCCAGTAACTATATACATGATTTGCACACTGGTGCATCACTGTGCTATAGTTTCTTTTTGCTACTGTAATTGTTTTTCTTCATGTAACAGGTTATATAGGGGAAGGATTCTGCATTAGGAAAGCACTGGGTTTGTAATTCAACATAAACTTATATTAATGTCCTATTAATTTCTAGTTTCATCTGGTATCTGTAATCAAAAGCGCTTTCGCTAAATAAGCTTAAATCCTAAGACTTCGCTCCATATGTTTGTGGTCATTTCAGTAATTCAATTAAACATGGCTTTAAATCACTCTTTTTCTCTCTATATATATGTTGCTTTCTCTCTCTTGTTAATGATTTTAGTGTCTCTCTTGTTAATGATTTTAGTGTCACGTCTGTCATTATTTTGTGTAATTAGAATTTATATGGGTGCCAAATGGGATTTAGACTTTGATCTGATACAAATCAAATAGTGGGGAGTGGACATACACTTTAACAATTGTATAAATCTAATTCGATCCTAATTGTCGGGTAACTGCTTCTAACTTCTGAAAAATCTCTATATTTATCAATTTTATGGGTAGTATGGGTATAAATACTAATATTTTTGGTCTAATGCTGTTTTGAAGCGTGTCGAGATTTCATGCAAATATTGGAATAAACAAAATTTGGTGTAAGCATATCCTTATGACATGCTTTTATTACACACCAAATTTGTAGTAAATTTGGTGCTTAAATTGTTGTTCTTTTTTAACATCAAGTCTATTAAAAAAACAAGAAGTTAATACGATACAAATCTAAGGGATCTCGACCTTGAAGACTCTTTACACCTACTAGACATACATAAAAAATAATAATAATAATAATAATAATAATAATTTTACATTGTCAAGTAAGGTGTTGCTGCAATATCCCATTTCATCTCCGGCTACCTCCACCTCTGCTACCGCCACTAAACATCCCCACACGGCTGCTGCTACTAAACCCACCACCACCACCACCATAACCACTTCCTCTTCCTAAAATACCCCTATAGCCACCTTCTCCATGCCAGCCACCTTCTCTGTGCCAGCCACCACTTGCTCTACCAGAACCACCACCACCATAGCCACCTTCTCTACGCCAGCCACCACTTGCTCTGCCAGAACCACCACCATAGTCACTTCCTCCACCACCGGAGCCACTTTCTCTATGCCATCCACCACTGACTCTAACAGAACCATCACCGGAACCACTTTCTCTACGCCAGCCACCACCTGGTCTACCAGAACCACCACCATAGTCATTTCCTCCACCACCGGAGCCACCACGGGCACCGCCATATCCAGATCCTTCACGAACATCACCTCTACTTTTTTTGGCTTCCTCAACAATTATCTTGAAGCCTCCAATCTCAGATTTATCGAGTCTGAGAGCTTGACTGAATGCATTACTCTCTACAAAGTCGATAAAAGCAACCCTGAGAAAATACAATGCACCAATCCATTCATAAATAAATCCAAGAAATGGCATTCTACTTTCATTTATTTGTCACAATTTCAACTCATTTATGTCATAATTAGCCAATTCGGGTAGAATTATCTATTGCTAATGAGCATAATAGCTCAAATTAAAATTTTAGGCTAAATGCAAGAAATGGCAACGTACTTTCATTTATCTGTTTAAAATTTCAACCCATTTATGTGAAAATTATCTATTGCTACTGAGTCAGACGGGCCAAATGAAATTTTTACTTTTACCTAAAATAGAAAGTGTTGAACGGAGTAAAAAGTCACCCATGCCATAATCAAGTTTTTATATCCTCTTAGTTGTATTAGTAAAAAAAATTCAAACTATTAATCTAATAATACTTTTCGCAATCATATTTAATATCTTAATTAAAATTATGAAGTTAAAATAAAAATGGTTTAGTGATATTGAATGGCCCCAAAAATCAATTTAGCCACTTAACCAAATACACTTTTTTACCATTGAAAAAAACATTTTTCCAGGTTCCATGGTTTGCTATCAAGGCAAAATGCATAAAAGCATAACCAACTTTCACCATTTTATCAATTTCGCCACATAAGTTTGCTTTTTTATCGATTTAGCCATTGGACTATTACTATAATAACCATAAAGAATAATAGTTTCAGGGTTAAATAAATAGATAAAATGGTGAAAGTATGTTGCATGTTTCTGTATTTTGCCATAATTTTAAACATCAAAATCCAAAAGTACAAAAAGATTACAAACCCTCTAGGAGCCCCTGACTCATACTCTTTGGGTATGGAGATACGTGAGATCTCTCCACATTTCCCAAAATGCTTTTCAAGTGTACTCCTAATCTGCAACAAATAGCAAGTTAATCCCAAAATATATTCACAAGGGCAAATTATGGATAATATAGCAATGTATTTAATTAATTCATATAAGCAATGTACTTCATCTTTTACCATAATAGCAGTGTACTTACATTTCTTTACCCATAATCGCAACGTACTTTCATTTTTTTTACCAATAATTGCAATAATACCAATATGTAACCTGAAATTTGTAAAATGCTTACAAGTGTTAGATTACATATTGTTGTTATCCGTATTAGAAATTCAAGTATGTTGCTATAATGGGTGAAGAAATGTAAGTGTGTAGCTATTATGGGGGTAGAAATGTAAATACATTGCCATTATGTGTAAGAAATAATGTAAATTTCATAGGTTTCATATTACATATTGCTATTACGTTGCTATTATGGACAAAGAAATAAAGTAAACTTTATATGCTACATATGACATATTGCTATTATGAATTTAAAAAAAAAAATGTAAGTACGCTATTAAAGGTGAGAAACAAAGTACATTGCCTATATAGAAAGAAAGACTAAAGTACATTGCTATTTTCTGAAATTTGTGTATATAAGAGGAACATAAACATACATTGTCAAAACCATGACTATAATCAAATCCCCGAACATATAAAGTTCTTCCTTGAGCATGTCCTCCACTTTGGTTAGATTTCTCAAAGCTACAATCATAATATATATATATATATATATATATATATAATATTAATTCAGAATTTATTTTTTCATCTGAAAAAATAAAATAAAAAATATTTCCAGGTCAGAATACCTGCTACCCGAAGTGGATGCACCTCGTTCCCTTGCCAAATCAAGTTTCACTTTTCGGTCTAATATCACTTTGTTATTTAGTTTAAGAGCCTGTAAATAGAAAAATACAGAAAAGCCCCTTAACTATTTTATGTAGCGACTAAAACCCTTATATTTTGTTGACCATATAAATGACACAAGGTACTTGAACAATTTTATCGATTTAGCCACTGAACTATTATTAATAACATCAAAGTAGTTTGTGCTTCTTTTTAAAAACTATTATTTAAAGAAAGTATTGACAACATATGCTATAATTAAATAATACCTCTTGAGCAGCTTCTGCAGTGGTGAACTCAACATACCCATAGCCCATGAATCGATCATTCCTAATGGCAAAGCGGATTCCCGCAATTTCTCCAACATCTTTGAAGAATTCCCTCCTATAGAATCACATCCAAATAATAATCATGAATCAGTCAATCCTAATGTAAAATGCTTACATGTTTCATTCTGCATATTTCCATTACTGTAAAGAAATTAGTAGGTGTAAAGAAATGTAAGAATGTTGCAATTATGGATTTATTTATCTCTATTACCCGTAAAAATATGTAATTAAGCTCTTATTATTGGTAAAGAAATGTGAGTACATTGTGTATATTGGTAAAAAGAGTAAAGTATAAATAAGATGCAAAAGGGTAATGTGGGAAAAGTGCATACACATCGTCTTCTTCGATTGAAAAACTTAAATTGCCAAGAAATAAAGTTTTGCATCCTGTGACATGAGAAGTTGTTGTCTGGTGATCACATTCGCCCCTTTCTGTTGCCAAATCAAGCTTCACTGGCTTATCTAATAATGATGTGTTGTTAAGTTTCAGAGCCTGTATACAGAAAGATGATTATATAAATATTTTGATAGGATGTGAGTAGAGTTATGTGGATATTGAACAATAATTTCAACAAACCAATGATCAACAAAAGGGTAAATACAAAGAAGCATTACACTTCGCATATAAAAGCACCCTTAAAAAAAAGGGTATCCACGAATTGGATTAAATACAAGAAATAGCAATGTACTTTCATTGATTTATTTATTATATTTATAGCATCATACTTTCATTTCTTTCTATTATATCACTTTCCTTTGAGAATCTATCCAATTATAGCAATGTCATCCGAATACAAAGCAATTTCCACTTCTCTAATTGGATAGAAATTTTTAAGTGAAACGTGCTAATAAGAAAAAAAAGTGAAAGTGAAATGCTAGAATTGGGTAGATAGATTATTCAAAGTACAATGCCTTTACTAAGAAAAAGTTGTAAATTACAATGCCATAATAGAAATAAAAAAGAAGAGTAGGATGCTATAATACACAAACAAATGAAAGTACATTGAAATTTTTTTGAATTTAGCCCAAATGGATTTATTGAAACCATGGAAACACAAGTGTATACCTCTTTAGCTGCTTCAGTAGTGGTGAATTCAACATGCCCATGACCCGTAAAATAGTCCTCTTTCATATCAAAGTGGATTTCAACAATTTCACCACCATTTTTGAAGAAATTTTTCCTATAAAATCAAACTACTTGTCAAACATTACTAGGCTTAAATCTTAATGGGGACAAGACTTAATCTAAGAAGCTATACATCACTTCAGTGTTTCTTTATCATTTCGATGCAGAAACAACTTAAGAGAGAAAGTCAAGGAAAAAAAAAAAGCTTTCCCATTAAGTCCTAATATTTTACAAATTTGTCCTTGTTTATTTCTTCCTTCCATTTCCCAAAGTATGCTGTTATATTTTCAAATACATTTGAAGAACATACAGAACTTAATAGGAAAAATGGGTGGAAAGCATGGCATAATGAATATTTAAGAAGGTTGCAAAAGTTAAAGTAGAAAAAGATCATAGTTCATACACATCTTTTGCTTGAATTGAGAAACTCAAGTTGTCCATGAGCACAATTTTCGATCCTGGGGTTTGAGAACTTAATGAAGTTTGAGCCTGCAGTATTTAGCATATGTTAGTAATGCAATCAAAGCTCCTTCAAATGAAAGCAAGAAATATTGTTTCTCTTTTTTCTCATTAAGTGTTGTAATGTATGGATAAAGTGTTGTCTGGATATGTGATGTTCAAAAATATTTGAGAAATGGGGGAAATGGAAGAAGAAATTAATGAGGTCAAATTTGTAAAAGGTTAGGACTTATCAGGGAAAGCCTCCTTACTTTCTCTATTATGTCGTTATTTGTGTATTAAGTTAAAAAGAAACACTCATATATAGTTTATCAGATTAAGTCATGTCCCCATTAAGTCTACAAGAAACAAGCACCTAAGTTAAACAAAGCAGAAATGAGTATCTAGAAGCAACCGTTTTCTTAGATGATGAAGCATCAAACATTTCAACATCAATATCCTGCAATTGGAGAAATTTTTTGCAAAAGAAGTGAGTGTCATTTGTGCAAATGGCTGGAATACTCTTCTAAACTAGTATTAACTTTTAAAAACGTTTCACAAACAATAAATCAATAAAAGGGTAATTTAAATATTTTTACAAGTATTTATAACTTACTTATAAAACAAACAATAATAATTTACAAAAATCAATAGAGCAGAAATATATCATTCATTGACATTCCAAATCCTTTTAACAGATTTAGAAAATGAAAGTGAATTCCATTCCATTTCCTGCCAACTAAACACATGACATACTTGATATTTCAATTCATTCAGATTCCAATTCCTTCCAAAACATTCTACAAACTGATATACCAATAAATGTAGTGACTTACATTTTTCTTTGGGGATTCTAATTGCAGTTGATCCTCCTTAGAATTATCATCTCCATCTTCCTCATACTTATTAGAGATGCTACCTCTCTTTGCATCTGGTGTAGTTTCTACTGAGTTTATATTTTGAGGCACCTTAACCTACAAAAAAGAATGCAAATAATCACTGATCTACCCAATTAGAGCTTTTTTCAACTTTTTTCCTTTAATGAGACAAGGTACTTTATAAAATCTACCCAAATATAGCATTGTACTTCCAATTTTTTTTCTTATTACGACTATTATACTTTGAAAATCTATCCAATTATAGCAGTGAAATGAAAGTAGGATGCTATAATAATCAAAGTACACTGCTATGTCTTGCATTTAACCCGAGATGGAAATCTTAAAACTATCCTCACACTTTTCTTTGGGGTTTCTAATTGTGGTTGATCCTCCTTGGAATTATCATCTTTGTCTTCTTCCTCATGATCATTAGAGATTCTAGCTCTCTTTGCAACTGGTGTAGTTGGTGTAGACTCTATAGCAGGAGGCACCTCAACCTACAATACATGTAAATACAATCATTCAATCACCTAAACAATGCAATATCACTTAAAGGAAGGAAAAAATCAACATTTTAACAGTGAAAGCTGCTTTGTGTTTGGATGATATTGCTAAAATTGGGTAGATTTTTCGATATACAATACTATAATAGGAAGAAATGGAAGTATATTGTCATTCCTTTCATTTAATACGAGAAAAAACATTCCATCAACATTATGGAAATCTTAATTATACTTACACTTTTCGTTGGGGTTTCTAGATGATGATGATGATGATGATGATGATCCTCCTTGGAGTTATCATCTCCATCCTCATTAGAGATGCTAGTTCTGTTTGCATCTTGTGTAGTTTCTGCTGAGTTAATAGCTACATGCACCTCAACCTACAAAACAATTAATCACAATCATTCGAACACCAAAAGAATGCAATGTCATTGAGATGAAAGAAAAAGGGCTAAATGCAAAAAATAGCAAATCAATGAAACTGCATTACTATTTCTTGCATTTAACCCAATAAAAAAAATCATCCATCAGTTTGATGGAAATCTTAACTATCCTTACACTTCTTGTAGGGGTTTGGTGATCCTCCTTGGAATTATCATCCCTGTCTTCTTCCTCATACTTAATAGAGACTCTAGCTCTCTTTGCATCTTCTGTAGTTTCTGCTGAGTTTATTGTTAGAGACACAGACACTTCAACCTACAAAACATTTAGAATATTGACAGGTTTTAAAAGTATTGAAGTAAATTGATCATGGAATTAGAAAATAAATGAAAATACAATGGAATCCCATATTTTGCTTCAACCATATCATAGTGTTTTACTGTCACATGCTACAAAAACAAAATATTTAATTGCCATTGGTATATCTCCACTATTGAGGGGGTTGTTTGGGATTGCTTATTTAAGGTGCTTGGATAGATTTAAATTACAAGTGCTCAAGTTGACCAATTCCAGTCTAGAAATCAACATGTAAATATATCAAATCAAAACCAAAAATCGAATAAATTGAAAAGGGATTGAAGAATTGCCAGAAAAGAGAAACAAAGAAGAAGAGAGCAAGAGGAGAGATCAGAGAAAATGGTGTCCGGTGGTTGTGAAGAAGAAGAAGAAGAAGAAAACAAGATGGATGAGAGAACAGCATATGTTTTAGGTTTAATAGAAGGGTATTTTTGTCATTTAATCTCAACAAGTCACAACAGAATGACTTATTAATGGTGGTGCAAAGTCATTTTAAGAGGCTATTTTCATTTGCCAAAAACTAATTTTAACTTTTTTAAAAAGCCAGAGTCAATAAGCTGTTTTAAAACACAATCCCAAACACCCCCTAGGCCCCTACATACTATATTTAAAATTGCCTAAAGGAAAAAATGTTCATTTATAAATTATAATGGAATACCTCATGTTAAATTACTCTTTAATGCTCACATGAGTAACTAAATGTCTAAATCTAGGATTTACTAGTACCAAGTTGAGATAAGTATGCATCTATTATTTCACTTAGTACACATATAAAGTGTTAAGTAGATGAATGAGGGCAAATTTGTAAGAAGTTAGGACTTAATGAACAAAGTCTCCTTATTCTAACTTTCTCTAGTAAGTTATTCTTTTTGCATTAAGTGAAAAATAAACATTCATATATAGCTTACCAGATTAAGTCATGTCTCATATGATTGAAAACTTTTGATACATATTACACTTTTGTTACTCAATGATATTCATGTTTATTTGTCATTATGTAATACTAGGCTAAACAATGTTTCATTTTTTTTACAACTTTATGCAACAATGTTCGATTCTTATTACATATTTATGCAATTGACATGAATTATGTAACCATGGTTCAACCAATTAAAATCACTTATAAAGGTTACATTTTTATCAATCTATGCAACAATGTTTCACTTAATTTACCAACTTGTGCAACAATGTCTCACTTTTTTTTACCAATTTATGCAATTGACACGAATAATGCAACCATGTTTCAACCTGACAAATCGATTACATGTAAACTTTTGCATACTTGGGTCCTAGAATAACACATGATTGCATATTTCGTCTAAAAATCAGATTTGTGGCATAAACTGAAAAAAAAAATGAAACTTTTTTGCATAAACAAACACTTAACCCTATTAACATACACCAGAGTTCAAATCCAGCAGAAACTGTATCCAAAAACTAATTGATCACCAAAAAATTGAACCTTTTTCTTTTCTGAAGAATTGTGTTGTTCTTCCTTAGTGTTCTCCTCTCCCTCCATTCCAAAATTCTTTTTTTCAACAGTCTGCCCCTTGTCACCATTGTCAAGCTTCTGTTTCTTGCTACTCACAACTTGCTTCATGGCAATCTTCTCTGCAACAAACACGATAAATCTTATAAAATAAAGAAACTAGAACAATATTCTTTCCATAAGTATACCAAACACTCCCTCCTTACCAAAAAAAAAAAAATCAAATCTTTCTATCTTGGATTGTATGCAATGTTTCCTCCAATACAAACTTACCAAGAAGTTCTTTTAATATGATAGATTATAAATTAACGCATTAGCAAGTCATGATCCATTTATTTTTTAAACTGATAGAGGAATTAAAAGACAAGGGCAAAATACAGGAAAGCACAACGTATTGTTGCAATTTTATCCATTTAACCTCTTAACTAACTTTTCAACTGACTAAACCAGTATACTTTTTTTATTGTTGAAAAAAAATGGTATGACCATGAGCTAGCAAAATACAGAGAATTATAAAGTACTATCACCATTATAGAACTATTATTTTTCATCGATTTACCCATCGAACAATAATTTCAATGATAAAATATCAATACTTATGTGATTAAATCAACAAAACAGTGAAAATATCTTGTCATGATCTGTATTTTTGTCACTTTACAAAACTGAGTAACCGTGAAAATAGAATAGTCAAGATGCTAAATCAATAAAATGGTGATTGGTGAAGATATAAGTGTTTTTCAACTATTTTGCCCTAAAAACAAACAAAAAAAAGGCTAGGCTTTTGCTCTCTTGCCTCCGCCCAGAAAAACAATACAATGTATTAGGCGAAAGAAGAAACAAAGATGAAAGATATGCCACCATAATTAACATTAATGAAAGAATTAAAGTCCTAATTTTTAAGGATAAACGTCAAAGAAATTACCCATAAGACGTTAGAAAAAAACATGTCATGATAACAAAATTCAAGAACAGAAGAAGCTACCATTTTCTATTGGAGTGGAGGGTGAAGCTACAACCACGGGATCCAAATCAACCTAAAATTGAATTTTCAAGAAAACATTGTCAGATTATCATACATACATAGATACATTCGAATATGAAGATTATAAGGATATTTTAAAAGGATTGTACTTCGGAATCGGGTTTCTTCCTTGATTTACCCATTTGAATAATCGAACAGCAAAAGATAAATCTAGGGTTCTCGAAGGAGGGAGTTAGATGCGTTGCGGAGGAACAACTTCAAACGCGCTTGAAAAATCAAGGGTTTTACAAAGCTCATAGCTTTACATGATTTTTTATTACAGTTTTTTTTCTGATTAACTACGGCACTACTCAAACCGATTAGCAAAACCATAGTTACCTAAAACGCGGTAGGCTCGGGTACGGGAACGAGAAACGAGTACGGGTTTACTAGGGTTTACTAAACTGAGTGTATCGGGTACCGAGGGGTAGGCTCATTTCGGACCGGTGTACCTTGTGGTCCGGTAGAGTGAACCCAGACAACAAGACATAATTGAATTTGAATATTTGATTACCAAGTGCATAAAAAAAGGAAATATAATTACATAATACATAGTCAAAGTGCAAGACATAAAACAAGACACAAAAGTAAAAAACAGGAAATAAAAATAGAAAACATAATCACCATCTCTACATCTTTTTCCTTTCTCATTCTTCAAGCCTTCATCATCAAGATTCTCTCACACCATTTCCTCTAAACGAGCACTTGAACCTTCAGTGTAATCACTTTTCGGATTCATGTCCCATTTTTTGTTGGGGCCAGATTTATAAGATTCTGAAAAACGGTATATAAATCTAATGTTGAAGTGAATAAACACAAGTTTATCAGCTCTTTGGTCATTCAAACGATTTCGCTTGATATTATGGATATGAGAGTACATACTACAATTCCTCTCTGCCGAAGAGCTACTAATTGGTTGAGAGAGTACTCTTTTTGCTACATCCGCCAAAACCGGAGTCTCCGCTCCATATGTCGCCCACTATTAGACTAGACTTTATATTATACTAGAAGGTATCAAAGTGTAACATTGTAAAGTGTATATATATATATATATATATATATATATATATATATATATAAATTTACCCTTGTAATGTATTCATGAATATATAACATCGATTATCAAGATTAACTTGGTATCAGAGCCCTAAACCTAATCGGCAGCCACACTAGCCGTTCTCCCTCCAGAAGTCGTCAACTGCCATCTTCTTCTACTTTTTGTTCCCTGGTAATCACAAAACAAGATGACAACTCTAGTTGCTTTTACTCAAGCTGAGAAAACTGTTCACAACTCACACAAGTTTGGTTTCAAACTATCCTCAACCAATTACGGGTACTGGAAAACGATGATTCAGCCCTTTCTTGTAACAAACAATCTATTCGGCCACATCGATGGTACCATTCCTTGTCCCTCATCTACAATCTCAGTGGCTACACCCTCTTCTGATAAAGACAAAGAACCGACAGCTACTACACAAGTCAACCCTGAGTTTACAATCTGGGTTTTGAATGATGCTCACGTAAGGATGATAGTTATGTCCACAATCTCTGAAAGTGCTTTTCAACATGTTCAAGGAAACACTTCTCGAGAATTATGGCTTGCTCTGGAACGTGCTTTTGCCCCTCATACCTCTTCAAGGGAATACACATTGAAGACTCAATTGTTGAAGCTACAAATGAAACCTGATGAGTCGTCATCCGCCTATCTTACTAGGGCTCAAGAATACTCTGATGCCCTAGCCAACATAGGCGAACCCATGAAAGAAAAAGATTTGGTTATGCTCGTTCTATCTGGGTTGCGTGAAGAATACAATGGTCTAAAGTCAACCATCCTTGCCCATCAAGTCCCCGTTCCCTTGGTTGATCTTCATGCTCTACTGTTAGATCATGATTATATGATCTCAAAAACCTCCACCGAGGTTACTCCAGCGCAAGCCTTCACTGCAGCAACATCCATTCGGAAACCAGCCACTACAACCATCTCGTCTCCGGCCTCTACAGAGGCAGTTCAAGCAATTCAACAGCTTGCTGCTCAGTTAGGTTTTCAGTTGCAACCTCTTAGTTCCCAGCAACCTCAAGCACACTACACAAATAGATCTCAGAACAACCGTGATCGGGCTCAAAACAGTCGACCAGGCAACTCCAACAACAATCGTGGACGTGGGAACTACAACAATCGCATTCAAGGAGGAGGTACTCGTAATCAGTTTAGTTGGGCATCTAATCAAAATACTGTTGTTGGTACATGTAACAGGTGTGTTATAGGGCATGTACCGTCTCAATGTTCAAACCGTGACCCCAGTACACTTAGATTGAGACAGGCACCTTCTGCCAACTATGCTGATTACCGCACACAAGCTTCAAGTACCTGGCTTCCAGATACAGGATCGAGTCATCATGTTGCATCAAATCTCTCTAGTTTTGACAACTCTGAAGCCTACTATGGCGAGGATAATCTCCATGTTGGCAACAGTAAAGGTTTGCCTATCTTACATATTAGTTCTTCATGCTTCCATTCACCCACCAAAACATTCAATCTTAAACATGTCCTACATGTCCTAGCCATTACACAAAATCTTCTGTCTGTTCAACAATTTTGTCAAGATAATAATGTTTATTTTGAATTTCATTCTATCTTTTTTCTTGTGAAGGACACACAATATCCTCCACATGGGTCCAAGTAACGGGGGTCTCTATTCCTTCAATCTTCCGAGAGTGCAATCTAAAGTGTCCTTCTCTGCAACTCGTGCTTCTCCGACTACATGGCATCAAAGATTGGGCCACCCGCACCCTCAACTTTTGAAGTCTATGTTTTCTAAGGTTTGTTTACCCTTGACAAACAATTGTTCTAGTATTTCTTGTGATTCATGTTCTATTGGCAAGTCCTCAAAACTTCATTTATTACCATCTACTATTAAAAGCAATCATATTTTGGATCTTGTTTTTTGTGATGTTTGGGGTCCTGCTCCTGTTACATCATATGGTGGTCACCATTATTTTCTATTGTGTGTAGATCATTTTACTAGATTCATGTGGATATTTCCTTTAAAGCAAAAATATGATGTTTTCCCTACCTTTAAACAATTTCTTCTCACTGTTGAACGCCAATTTGACACTAAACTTGTCACAACTGGGAATTCTGATACTTTGTAAAACCCTTAACAAAGATAACATTGTAGTTAAAACTTGAAAACATGTATGGTGCTTATTCAATGACCACAAAATTCCATCAAATACTCTATACAAACATTCAAATAGTCAACAAAAAGTTGGAAACCCTAAAAATCCCGGTTTAAGTCCATATGGATTAGGATTTCCTTATTGGGCCTAATGGACCAAT